TAGCCGGTGCTGATTACCTTTATCCAGGCGGGTCAACGAAGACAGTATCCTCGCAATCCAGATTTTTGACCAGAAGAAATTCAAGAAGAAGGACCAGGGGTTCCTCGGTGTGATCAATGTGCGGATTGGAGATGTGATTGATTTACAGATGGGTGGTGATGGTGAGTCACTTCCAATTCGGCACTCCTGCGACATCAGTCGGCTAACCTTTCGTCTCTTACTCCTCGAAACAGAAATGCTCACTCGGGATCTCAAGAAATCCAATGACAATCTGGTCGTACACGGCAAATTGATCATCAACCTATCTACGAACTTGAGCACGCCGAATACCAATCAAGCTAATGGCCTGCATCGATCACATGTTCAGTCATCAACATCCAGCGGCCTCGTCCCGCAAGTGGCCCCGTCGTCTTCGCATCCCGCCGCAAGTGGTGCTGCTCCAGTCGATCCGTCTGCGTCGAATCCATCCCTTAATCCCCAGCGTGTTCCTTCCACTACCCGGCCATCGAGCACCGCCGCTCCCGCCAGCGCAGCTGGGGCAGCCGCCAGCAATACCCATGGATCTCGCACCAATCTCAGCTCGTTCGAAGATAGTCAAGGCCGACTGCCAGCCGGCTGGGAGAGGCGAGAAGACAACTTGGGACGAACCTATTATGTGGACCACAACACAAGAACCACCACTTGGACGAGGCCATCATCGAATTACAATGAGCATGCGCAACGGTCTCAGCGCGAAGCTAATATGCAACTTGAACGGAGGGCCCACCAGAGTCGAATGCTACCGGAGGATCGCACTGGTGCCAACTCACCTAATCTGCCGGAGAGTTCGCAGCAGGCCCACACCCCGCCGGCCGGGGGCAGTGCCAATGCTGTTTCTATGATGGCAACAGGAGCCACCACTGCAGGCACTGGCGAGCTTCCTCCCGGATGGGAGCAGCGGACGACCCCCGAAGGGCGACCATACTTTGTGGATCACAACACGCGTACCACGACATGGGTGGATCCGCGACGGCAGCAGTACATTCGGATGTATGGACAGAATGCCAATGGCACGAATACTACGATCCAACAGCAGCCGGTATCACAGCTGGGACCCCTGCCCAGTGGTTGGGAGATGCGCTTGACCAACACAGCGCGAGTGTACTTTGTCGATCACAACACCAAGACGACGACATGGGACGACCCCCGCCTGCCGTCGTCTCTGGACCAGGGTGTACCGCAGTATAAGCGTGACTTCCGGCGCAAGCTGATCTACTTCCGTTCTCAGCCGGCTCTGCGGATCATGTCCGGGCAGTGTCACGTCAAGGTGCGCCGCAACAATATCTTCGAGGACTCGTACGCCGAAATCATGCGGCAGAGTGCGTCAGACTTGAAGAAGCGCTTGATGATCAAGTTTGACGGTGAAGACGGTCTCGACTATGGTGGTCTTTCTCGGTATGTACCTTGTCTCGTTCTCGTGACTGATATGGCCTACATTTGCTGACGATTAACCTAGTGAATTCTTCTTCCTTCTCTCCCACGAAATGTTTAATCCGTTTTATTGCCTTTTCGAATACTCCGCACACGATAATTACACCCTCCAGATTAATCCTCATTCGGGCGTGAACCCCGAGCACCTCAACTATTTCAAGTTCATTGGACGAGTCGTCGGACTTGCCATTTTCCACCGCCGTTTCCTCGATTCTTTCTTCATTGGTGCGTTCTACAAGATGATGCTTCGAAAGAAGGTTTCTCTCCAAGACATGGAGGGTGTTGACGAAGATCTCCACCGTAATCTCACATGGACTTTGTAAGTTATTCCGCCGGCATTCGGGGTGGTTCAGGGTTTCTAACAATCTGCAGGGATAACGATATTGAGGGTGTTCTGGAGCTCACCTTCTCCGTTGATGACGAAAAATTTGGTGAGCGTCGCACGATCGATCTCAAGCCCGGTGGCCGGGATATTCCTGTCACAAACGAGAACAAGGCAGAATATGTCGAGTAAGTTGCTATCTTCCATTGCCTCTGACTGCGGAGGACGATCAGGATAGAATCACTAACGGGGTCTTTAGGCTGGTCACTGAGTGGAAGATTGTCAAGCGCGTTGAGGAACAGTTCAACGCCTTCATGTCCGGCTTTAACGAGCTAATCCCCGCGGATCTTGTCAACGTTTTTGACGAACGTGAATTGGAGCTGTTGATCGGAGGTATTGCCGATATCGACGTAGATGACTGGAAGAAGCACACAGATTACCGTGGCTACCAGGAGTCAGACGAAGTCATCCAGAACTTCTGGAAGGTTGTCCGAAGCTGGGATGCTGAACAGAAGTCGCGTCTTCTCCAATTCACCACTGGTACATCTCGTATTCCAGTCAACGGGTTTAAGGACCTTCAAGGCTCTGACGGGCCGAGACGGTTCACCATTGAAAAGTCTGGTGATCCGGCAGCATTACCCAAGTCTCACACATGGTATGTGAAATTCCCGCTATCAATCCTTTTGTGATTTTCTGTGTTCGCGAGCTGACGGTACCAGCTTCAATCGTCTCGACCTTCCTCCGTACAAGTCGTACGAAACTCTCGAACACAAAATGTCCATTGCCGTAGAGGAAACATTGGGTTTTGGACAGGAGTAGTCGTTTTCGATTTCGAACAAGACAAGCATTTCATCAAGAAACAGGATTATCCATGCATCCCTTGTTTTAAGCATTATGTCGCTCGCCTTGGGGTATGCGGCCTGATTCCAAGCGAGGCCAAAAATTGGGCGGGAAGTTTCCCATTCTTGCATATGCAGATGCTGCAGGGTGTTTCCTTCACTACTATTCCTATCGCTCTTTGTCAAGCCATCGGTGCTATCTCGATTCCCTCCAATCGCTATTCTCTCGCTCGTTTCGTCCTCATATTCCCCATCTCCGCCTGACGAAGGTTTTTGTCTCATACAATGTGCTTGCTTGGAGAAGAACGCTATACCGTGGATTTGCACGCGGCTTCGGACCTTTTTTTTTCCCCATACGAAACATTTTTTTTCTTTTGCCGGCGCACCGTGTATATACTTGTGTATTATTTTGACTTATGGATACCGTGAAGCCAGAGAATATTTCTCTTCATTGAAAGGATCTTGGTGCATTTACCTGATGGTGTAGTACGGAGTAGATTAAAGGAGAATGCTCAAATGCGTAGTAATAGCTTTGCATCAGGATCTGGGGACTGGTCGATGTGACCGGTCACTTTCTGAGGTGTTTGATTAATCTGCCGACTGGCACTCGGGGAAATGAGACCATTGAAGCTTCCACAGCAGATCACAGACAAGTGGACGTTCAAGAATCGCCCTCGTTGATTTACGAGGCTTGCAACCTGGATTTTTCACGCAACGATAGACCAGTCGCCCCTGAAACAGCACAACACAACACAAGCAGATACAATTTTCAGTTTGAAAGTCGAGCAGGCCTATCAGCTCCTTTGCCAAGGACTAGTGATTCCGCTTAGCATCGTATCGATGGCCCTAGGCCAGCCACACCCTTCAAAAGCTGGTAATGCTTACTGTGGCATCCTGAGACAACCCCAATCCTTCTCAATGTGACGCTTTGTATCTCCGGCTCATAGACTAGTCTGTCAATAGTGTCTCTGCTAAGCGGCTGTCATTGGTTGGTCCCATATCTTGATGCACTGGTATTCTCCTGATCAGGGTGTGTAGGTGGATATTGAAACTTGCTGGATAAGGACCCTGAATCTGCTTCTTGTTGTACTATGGAGTATTGTGCTTAGTTCTCTGTTCGACCTCGAAGGATACTATATTTAACCGGTAGACTGGGGAATTGGGCCGACGTATCACAGGATGAGCGGACGCTGCATGTCTTAGGGATCTCTTCCTGCCGAGAGTTCTGGCAGGTGGTAGGCTAGTATGTATCTAGATACTCAGACTACTACATGTACAGTTTCACCCTTGCAGGGTCTGTTGCCCAATTTAGTCGTTCTGCACAAGCCGTGTGACCTGACCATGTCTTCTATTAAGTTCCTTACCTAGAACTTCTCACTCCCTTCTCTGTCTGTTATTCCTCCGCTTGCCTTTCCATCCTCCATACTCTACCACTCACACTTCACAATTGTCTGCCTCACCTCTCCCCTATTCTAGGATACCTGCTCTGCTCAAGATGCGCTACTCCACCTCCGCAATCACTCTCCTCGTCGCCTTCACCGGCTCCACTCTGGCGCAGCAGACGACCGCACCAGCAGGCGCTGGCTCTTCGTCCACGAAGCAATGCGCAGCCCAAAAGTACGTTCCATCTATCCTAGGCCAAATCAGAACATACTAAGAAACCTACAGCATCGTCGACGCCTGTCTTGAGTCCATGAAGCCCCAGCTCGACGCGTGTGGCCCGAACGATTGGAAATGCCTCTGTGACCAGAGCATCAATGTCCTGACGTGAGTATCCTTGTTTGATTTTCAAGTAGCATACACACCTAACGCAATTATAACGCAAAAGATGCTACAATAACTGCCCCGGACACCCCGACAGCTTCGGCGCCGAACAGACCAAAACGTCCTACTGCAACGCGGCCCAGGCTTACTCACCTTCGAGCACTTCGACGTCCGCCGGTACGGCTACCAGGACGTCTTCTGCGACCCAGACGGCGGAGACAGCGGCTACCACGACCACCACTTCGTCTGGATTCTCGCCTACCCCGTCCACGGGTGCGGCTGCAGGGTTGGCTGTTGAGGGTGGAAGTGTGTTGGCTGCTGTCTTGGCTGGGTTTGTTGTCTTGTAAGCTGGTGCATCGCTAGCTCGGGATTGAGGGATGGGAAGTGGAAAAGGGAACGGAGGGGACTGGCAGAGAGTGAGGTGTAATGGGTGATTGATAGGAGGATGTACTGTACCCTGTGTCATGGAACTAATCTGTAATAAGCCATATCCTTCAGGGAGAGAATATACGCAATTCACTCTGCCTGAGTCAAGCTAATAGTACATGCGTTGAGCAGAAGGATGATGTATTGCAGCACTACCATCCTCACAAGACGAATAAAGCTCATCGTCTTCTTTTCGAGCTTCTCTCCTCTGCTTGAACATCCTGGTCAGGCTTCCGTTTCGTCTCCTCATCTCCCTGAGCAGCAGCAGGACCATCCTCAACAGAATAGCCCGAGACATCATAATGCCTCAGCACAAACGCCACCTTCTCAACATCCGCACAGGAAACCGCATTAGAAGACTGCGCAGCCAGTCTAGCCCGCAGCCGCCGCACAGCCTCCCAGAGCTGCTGGTACTCCCGGATGTTATACTTGACGTTGAGTTCGCCGTTCGGACGTATCCGCTTCGACACCCCGCCCTTCTTCTCCCCGCCATCCTCGGCGGCGGCATCAGCAGAGGGAAACACACCCAAGCAAAGCCAAAGAAAGACATCATCGCTATAGAACGGCGCTGCCTCCGTCGCAACGGACAGAATCAGCGAAGCCGTTGCGGGACCCACGCCTCGGAGCGGAGCAGTCAATGTCTCTAGGCTGTGTTTGGGGAATGCGCTGTCCGACTCCGACTCTCCCTCTGCGTCTGCCTCTGCGGACGCCAGATCGGCCATTGGATCTGACGCCGGAACAGTAGCGAACGCAGAGGCCGTCGTCCGGCGGACGAGGGCAGCCTGGTTCGAGCGGACCAGGCTTAGGAGCGTAGGACGGTAGACGCCGTGTTTTCTATCACTGTCAATATCGCGTGACAATAAGTGAATTGAGGGGACATACAGCTTCCACTCGATCAACTGCACCAACTCATCTTTCTCTAGGTATCCGAAGACATTTGTCTTGGATTCTTTCCCTTCTGTAGCGGTAGCAGCAGCGGCAGCTCTCTCCCGCACCCGCGCTGGTAGAGTCGCGTACCGCAACCCGTCCAGAGCCAGGTACGCCCGGACTTGGTTGTCGATATACTTTTTCTCGTCGGGTGTCAATGTAGGCTGCGAGGCAGCAGAATCTGCCGCGTGTTTCTTTTCCTTTCCTCTCGTCTTCTTCTCTCGGGCTGTGGCGGCTTTGATGGCCCTTGCGGTCTCCTTGCGTCGTATCACCGTCTCGACGGTGGTAGGGTAGCGTGCAAGGAGGTCATTGAACGTGTCAATGGTGATGTGTGAAGGTGAGAACTCGGGGAGTTCTTCTGTTTGGCCTTGGGGCTCTGTTTCTGTATCACTTGGGGGGTTTTCACGTTCGGAGAGCGCCATGTTGCTGTTGTTGTCGTCAGATAACAAAGTGTTGTGGGGGTTTACAAAAATATGTTCCAACCACAGAGTCTCCGAACGTCACAACGCGATCTCAATCCAGTCCGTCAAGTCTGACTATATTGCTGTATTAATCTCAGAATTGATTACCAGATTGACTTTTAACTTCACAATGGCTTGACTAACCTACGCAGTGGTGACCAGAGCAAACTGTCTTCGTCTATTGATTCAAGTTCCATCTGCTAAAGCATACTATAATCGTATCACCACACCAGAAAGGTTGCGAGAAATATTAAAGCACAGGCACATGTGGCTAAAGACATAATCGTTGAGACCATCCGGCATCAGGCATCACCAGGACCGCAGTAGTGCTCTCAGAGATGAAGATCAACTTCAAAACGAAGAGTTCGCAAGGCAATCAGTACCATTCGAACTAACACATACGCCCGCACTCATCAGCCAGGAAACGAACAGGTCCGTGGCAGAAAAAAAAAAGAGGAGAGAGTTACACAATTACAAACACGCGAGGGTATCCGCTCCTTCTCATTTCTAGAACGGGGAAAAGAAAACGAAGAGGAGAGAGGAAAAAGAGACCCGCACAAGTCTACTGCTTGCGTCCTCCACTGGATTTCTTCGAGGCATTTCTTTTGCCTTTAGCGGATCTGCTGTTCGGACTGACAAAGCTCACCCGCTTCTCATCTTTGCTCCGTTTCACGGGGGCAATCGAAGCGGACATGACTCGGTCCTTCTTCTTCGTGCTACTTCGTCGGAGCGATCTCGACAGGGATTTCGAAGGGTGGGCCGCACCGCTGGCCATGTCGGCATCTGACTTGGGCCCCGTGGTTGCTGGCGAGGCCGCAGCATCTTCGTCGTCTTCTACATCAATATGGCTGAACTCTTCATCCTGGTCACCGGCTTCAGATGAGCTCGGTTCCGGGCTGTCAGGTTCTGAGGCTGCTCCGTAGTCATCATCGTCGCTCACCAGACTTGGGGCTTGATTCGACTCCAAAGTGGTTGGACTCAATTCTTCCCGCAAGTCCTCCATGGCAGTTGACCTAGACACGGAAGACGCCGGTCCATAGGAAGACTGAAAGTATCCATTCAGAGATGGAGAGTGGTGATTTGTATTATCAAATCCCTTTCGGCTTCCGGGCCGCTGCGATGCGGTTTTAGATCCCGTCGTCCGCATCGACTGCCTAACGGCGCGATTCCCAAGGGGTTTCTGAGCTTGCGTCGCAGCGTCTACAGATGTCTCTGGTGGGTCATCTTCTGACTCCGCCTCTGAAGAATAGGCTTCGAGATCCATCGTCGTCTTCGCTTCGCCCACTAATTTATCCAGGTCTACCCCTACACCCCTGCGTTGCATAAGAGAGGAAAGATGTGGAGTATCAGATGACCCCGTGAACGAGTTGCGATGGGAGGCTTTCCCCCCTACGGATGTGGTTCGCTTGCCTGCTTGGGAATGCATAGTCGGTGTCTCCACCGCAGACGATGCCCGTCGGCTGGCGACAGAGTGTCTTCGCGGCGTCGTAGTGTCACCGGCACCCTCCGGAACCGATGACGGCGTCTTGGTCGATGGCTCGATTACATGCGCAGATCGAATAAGCGGGTGGACGAAGCCAGCCGCAGTCGCGCTGGAAGTTTCGTTCTTTCCAGGGACAACGGCACCTGCCTCATCAACCTCGACCGGCTCGCCTGAGGCCATCGCGGCGGCATCGTGACTGGCAAAATTTCGGTTATGAGCGATGCGACAGTGGTTGATGAAGCCCTGAGTGCTCGAGAAATTATCCCTCCGACAATCCAAGCAGATAAGCTTGACAAGTACACCATCCGACTTTCGCCGGATAATCATAGGACCAGCCTTTTCTTTGGGTGTGGGATATCCACTGGGGAGGGACTGCAGTTTGGCTCCAGCTGAGCCTCTTTGGGGACGAGTTTTGCTGGCAAGATAGCCTCCATCGACAGGATTGCCACGAGTCGAACGACCCTCCACCAGCGGGGTGCCGAGAGCGCCTGGAGTCAGCGGAGTGCCTGACTCGAGTTCGCCTCCGTCAAAGCGCGGATCGGGAATGAGCCATCGTGCATAATGTCGCGTATAAGGACCGTCTGTGACACCCCATGGAGCTGGGGATATCGGCGCCACACCATTTCCAGGAGCACGTACTGCCATACCTGTGCCGTTACTCACAGACTGCGACACGCCAGCGACGTGAGATCCGGGATATGGTATCTCGGCGCACCGGCGCAATTGTTCCAGCGCAATCTGGCATTTTGCGATCTCCTGGTCGATCAAGCGCAGTTCATTGTGCTTTAGCAGCACCTCCAAACTCAGCTGCGCTTCTAATGTCTCTCTGAGCGTGTCCACATCAATCTTGCGCGGGGCGGCCGTTTTATCGGCGACGATGGAACTCGACGAGCTCGAACTCTGGCGACGACGGGGCGACTTGGATGATTTTGATATGGTCCTGTTCGAAGGACTATCTCCGAGGGATGCCGACATTCGCGACACCGCAGGTTCACCGTTTACAGTCGAAGAAAGGGTCTTCTTGCCGGAAAGCGAATTACTCGACGCGTCATCGGATCGTAATTTTGTCGCGACAGGTGCATCTTCGACAGCGGCCGCATCACTGGAATCGGACCGTTTGCGCTTCAGCTGGGGCAATCCGATACTGTTGAGGCCCGGGGAAGCGCAGTGTGGCGAAATCGCAAGCATCTTGAGCTCCTCCGCCATCACCTTATTTCCTCCGAGAGCAGAGGACCAAGGAAGCAGCCGAAACATGCCATGCGAAATATGGTCGGACGCCAGGATAATGATATTTCAGGTCGAGTGGCGGAAACTTTGCGACACGTCCAAAGTAGAAGCCACGGTAGTGATAGGAGGGGGAAAGGAAGGAAGAAAGGGGAGGAACCGCAAGAATAATATTAGACTAAACAAGAATAGAGAGAATAGAGTGTAAATTTAGTAGTTTGCTGCGCGTTGAGGCCATGCACCGGTGCAGGCGAACGCAATCTAGATAGATAAGAGGGAACAAGGTGAAAATGTAAAAGTGAATGGTGGAGATGGGTGGACGGGTGTAGCGGATCAAAGGGATAATAGGAATGGTTTCTTGATTTTTGGACGTCAATTGGCGTTTGCGACCGTCAGAGCTCAGAAGGAGCAGAGCAGACAAGCAAGGGGGGAATCGGAAAGTGAGACGGGAAACCAGAGGAGCCCCGGGGGAATAGGGACAAAGAAGGATAATGATTTAGGTAATTACCAGAGATAAGAAACAAGTGTCAGGTTCTCAGCGACTCACATGCAGGACGAGAAGGGCGAGAAAACAGGCAGAAGGGGTAAGCTGAACTCAACCACGGCTTGGGATGAGGGAATACGGGGAATGATGACGCTGAAGGATGGAGGACTGGATGGATGGAGTGGGTTGAGGGTGGCGTAATCTATGATTAATAATAACAACAACAAGGATATAACATCGACCAGAGCAATAATAAGAAGAGTGTGAAACAAACAGCAACAAACAGCAACAAATAACTGAGAGATTCAGGAGTATCCGCAGTATATTGCAATTAGGACAGGGACCAGGAACAGACTCGAGCAACGGTCGGTTGGGTGACTTGGGTTGCAGTGTGACAAGAGTGACGAGAGTTACGATGGTTGATGGATAGATAGGCTGTCCAGGTACGGAATAGTTCCACTGACTGATGAGGGGAGAGTTTCAGACAAGAGGGAAGTCCCAGACTATCTCATAGAGTCGTAATAGTTGAAGACGGAATCGTGCTTGGAGTGTGACAGAACGAGAAGGAAGATGGCTGTGTAGTCTAAGAGATCTGTTGGGCGTTTGGGAGAAGAGGGGGAGGACTCAAGAATGCGAATGGGAAATCGAGAAAGGACATGGAGATCAGCTTGAGAAGCACAATACACAGCAGAATACTCCGTACGGAGTAATAGCGCGGAGTCTGGAGTTTAGTGATCAGTTAGACTAGACAGTTACAGTTATCTAGTCGTCCTCTTAGCAGTCAACAATAATAAAAATAAACCTACCTCAGAAGACAGACTTCAACCTGAAACATTATTATTGCTAACGTACCCAAAGAAAGTACGGAAAAACTCCGTAAATATTATTATTACTATTGTTATTATCACACTTGTCACCCAGTTAGTTACCCAGTCATCTCATCTTGCCTTTGACTGACAACATCCTATGCCTAGATGCCTAGGTACAGGTAGCCACATATCTACTGTACAGCCTAACAGCCTACTGTGTAGAAAGATAACAGGAGGTTGACTTGTTCCATAGTTCCCCGATCAGGCTACAGTAGTCAGAAATAGTGACCTGTCAAATCAGATCACTTTTAGTCCGATTTAGAGAAACAGGATACATTTCCAGTGGATCCTCTGATGTGATCCGAGGCCTGGACTGGCCCATATTATTCGGCGCTGCTGCGCGGTCCAGCTTGGCTTCGGCTCATGAACTGGTTAAAAAGTACGGATTCAGGTTTGCTTGCTCCGTACAGGTGACTCTTACTGGATAACTATCAAGCTGTCGCATTTTGGAACAAAAAATTTGGCATTTGTGTACCTTTACTGGAATCATGAGACAGAACGTCTACTCTATTACTTACTTATCTGAGTACCACGTAGGTCTACCTAGTAGGTAGAGAGGTAGAAAGCTCAGGAAGTCACTACTAAGGTACACTACAGCCTTACCCAGGCATGGAGCAATCCTTATCGTAGGGAGGTACCTTGGGTAGTGCATCGCCGCCGCAATCACAACGAATCAAATTGCCGCCATGTCTTAACTACCTATCACAAATACCTTACTAGGATCTGATTCCCTCTTTGCATGTGCTGACAACGGCCATGGATGTATCTAATAAATTTGCTAGAGGCTCATTGGTTTGGCTTTGGGACTATATTTACCTCTCTACTGTATTAAAGTACCCTAAGAGGTCCATCGCCAGATAGAGAAAGATAAACACTTCACATATCCGACTCAAGCTCTCCAGAGACACAGATACTATGATCGTGTCTGCGAAAGACTCTGGAATGTTATCAGTGATAAGATTATCTCATAATGCATAGATCGAACTCCCGCCTCCACTAGCTATTGCAGATTTGACCGACATAAGGGAAGCAAGACACCCAAAGGCAACCAGACACTTCTCAACCGAGTGCTCGAGTATCTTGAGTACTCGAACTGGTTCCAAGCGACTCTATAGTCAAGAAATCGGTCTAATGTCAAGCTTGCACCATGATTATGGATAGACGATGAAGCCCCGGCGTCGTTGAAACTCCTCATCCCGCGTCTCCAACTGTCTACTACGCTCGTACGCCAGGCAGATTCGTCTGAATATCTGCAGTGCACAACCGACATGTTTTCAAAAGAAGAAGTATCGAGGCTCAGCGATGAGAGCCAATGTTGCTCCATCATACCAGACTATGTGCCTAATCCTTCCACTCTACCGACCTCCCAACTCCGAACGGAATTTGCTTCAAATGATTATCGATTTCCAATTCCCACGGGCTAACTGGATGATCACCCTCAAAACGGAAAATTCAGCCGGGGTCCTGGACGTTCTGGGAATTGCCGCCACATATGCAGCCTGGACAAGGCATGCTTGGAGGAGTCGCTACTGGATGACCAAGTACAAAGACAATGGAACGGCTAATGCGCAGGGGAATGCGAAGATTACTCGAACTTCGAGACGTTTCTTTATGAAGAATACCCGACGCAAACGAGCGAGAATCGTTATGACTTTGGACAAAGATTTTATGTAAGAGACAATGTGCTTTCACCTCAAGAGACCTGCCACCTGAAGCCTCTACCATTCAGCGCACCCTCATTCGGAGTCCTCTGGTCGAAGCGGATATAGAAGGCGAGATGGGATCCCTAAGTTGAACATAAGATACATGCGGCGTAAAACCTAATCCTAGACAAGAAACCCTATAAAAGAGCTGGCCCACAGCTCTTGGCACATAAGTAGAAGTCGTCATCGTTCAGTTTGCTTGAACTTTGTTGCAGTGTTATACAAAACACCAAGCGCGGAAGCATCGTTGGCATATCGGTTGACCCAAAGAGGATGCGATGTGGGGACATTTACGGGCAGGCAAGGAAGATCGACTGGCACAAACCCGCAAGACAATCTTCAGTCCACCTTCATACGGAGGATAAAGTTGACCACGACAGCCGCAAGAAGCGACAATGCCAGGACAGTGGGACCGTACCGGTCGTCAATTCCACTCTGCCCACGTCGCCGAATACTCTGCGCCCGCCAGTGAAATGTGAAAAGAGCGTATAACATGGCTGCCATTGCGATGATCGTGAACAATCCGGCGGAGATGCGACCGACGCGGTCGCCAAAGTTGAGCAGGCCAACGGCCAGTCCGCCCAGGATCACCGTGAAGTTGAGCCACGAGAGAAAGGTACGTTCATTGGCGAAGAAGACCTTGGGTTCGACCCGGGTTGGCAGGGCAATTCGCTTGCCTGTATCGACGGGTGATGGGTAAGTACTCGGCGAACCAAAATGATGACCCAATTGCTACCATGACACATACCTGGAGCAGTCTGCAGCAGAGGTTGGCTCGACATTATCGGTGAATGTGAAAAATAGTTGATAAATGGGAGAATGAAGGCAGATGGGGGGGCCAAGAGAGCTACCAAGGAAGAATTCGACGAGGAACAATTGATCAATGGTTGACAACACGTATGTACGTGAGCACTGGTATGCTGCAGCTTATACGGTAGAATCCAACTAGAAGAAAGAAGAAATTGGCAAAAGAGGAAGACCGCACAGCCCAAAGGAAGCTATAATAATGGTCGCAAGCAGATATATGGGCGCTGGCTGGACTGATGTAACTAAGACAATAAGAGGGCTGGACTGTGACTAATCGGGAGAAGTACTTCTCCCGGCAGCACAAGCGGTCAAATGCTAGCTAAAAGGAGACTAGTGTGTGGCGCTGATGAACTTCTGCCCAATTCGACCGCCCAAAAGTCCCCACGTGCTCCATCTCTTTGCTATGCTTTGATTGCCTGAGGCCTCGACATGGAATACCGTTCTGCCGTGTCCTTGTGGCGGTGACGTTAGAGATAAAGTAAAGGCTAAGCTGGTTAAGGAATAGCTTGGCGCAATTCATTGTCGAATCATCGACCGCCAAGCCACACCCATGATGCCACAGACTCCGATGTTGTCTCGTCCCCCAAACATCCAAAGCAGAAAGCACAGCGGCTGTGACCTCCTAACCTTTTCACTTCTCCCGTTTCCTGCAGTGCTATCCATATCTGGTTATCTAAATTCCCTGCATATCTTACCCCACCTGGTAAGCTTAAACTGGACCTGGATCCTGTCAATTGATTTGTTTGACTAGCTCCGGCAGTGGTCTCATTCCCCCCGCAATCGCACCTCCAGCATTCATCGTTACGCCGCATTCCCTCGACCTGCACCGCAGTTTATAGGCTCCCGAAGTGATATACCTGCTGACTATAGCACTTTAGCTCACGTATTACGATTGTGTAAGCCTTCTACACGAAACTCACATACAATGGCTGTCGAGAAGGGACCTGTTTCTGTGCGTGACCGACCCTATCTTTCTTAGCAGCAGCATCTGCGACGCTCCGCATCGAAATTTGTCTTCCATTCGAATATTAAACTTTCAGTCGCTGATACTGACTGTCTTTTTCTCTATCTTTTAGCCCATACCCATTCCGGAGCTCACCAAGATCGCCACAGATGTACGTTGGTTGCCTCTTCCACTCCGTCAATAGTAGCCATTGTGATCGAATTGCATACCTTACGTTAGCGAAGATCTCAACTTGGGCATTATACTTGTACTGACAGGTCGATCCAAGGCTTGTGATATGGCCCTGAAGAGCGCCGAGGGTTACGAGCACGCCAAGGTTGGCGAATGGAATTCCCAGATCATTGTGAGTATCAACCTGCGGCAAATGATGTGCCTTCAGGCACGTTGACTACCAAGAGCATGTCTGATTTATAATCCTTTGATTCGATAGAACACTATCCTCAAGGCCCTCATTGCAGCTACCGCACCAGAGTCTCCCGCGACATCACCTCCATACCGGTTCACCGTCAACAGCACCATCGTTCAACAAGGCTTGATCGATAAGTCTTCCGCAGCAGACGGGGCCGTCAGTAATGCCGGCAAGCGTGGCATGCACTCTGCCTCAGGCGCCTTCTGGGACGTCAACCGTGATGGAATGTGGACATTCAAGTACCCCGGGGCTGAAGAGCGGGGCCTCGATGTCGTTGTCAGTGTGACATGGTTTGCTCTGGGCTAGTCTCATTCAGATCAAGAAATTTAAGAAAGGAAGACCCAATTTTGTTTGAAGCTTTTGAAAGTTCAACGTTTCGTTCTGATGTGACTTTCATTTCATCTTCATTTCTTCTATGACTGTGCGGTTGTGTTCGCATGCCTTCACCTGTTATATGTTCTCAGAGGCTTGATGTACAAGAACAATGTTGATTACGATATCCCTTAGTTCAAGAATTGGCGCTATTTGTATCAGCACTTCAGGTGCCGAGGCCTATAGAAGTTAACTCTCCAGCACACTAGGGTGGAAGGGGTCTTGGGGGAGACAAGCAAAGAGGTTAAAAAAGGCTACACCAGCGAATGCATTCAACCAATCGTGTCTTCGAATTCAATGCCAGTTAAAAACCGCCCAGTTTCATGAGTAGATAATGAAGAAGTCCGAGGAAAAATCATTAGAATGGATAAGCTAAGGGTGACAATCGAACACCGTACGAAGCGGTAGTTAAAGCTTTCCTTCTCCCGAGACCAGGCGCCATGCTAACCAAGGAACAAGTGAATCAATCGAGACAAAAGAAAGAACAGTTCATGAACATGGACATGTAGTATGACATGCGAATCCCGGAATTCCACTGGGCTACTCTACCCGACCTCAACGGGGCTCTGAATAGTCGTTCAATGCGACACATACCGCCCCGCGGTGATGCCCGCTGTATTGACGAATGATTTGACCCGAAGCCAGCTCCCACAGACGCGCATAGTGATCACTCGAAACGGTGACAAGATAGGCGGAATCTGCAGAGAATGCGCAATCCCACACCCAGCGCTGATGATTGGCTAATGTGGTTTCTAGAAACGGCGTCCCGGTAGTCATATCCATGGGAGGTCCATCCGGTTGCACTGGGAAAGTCTGCTGCGGCTCCGGATTCGCAGGAGCATTTCCTCTGATGTACGTAATCGGGTTCAGCTCCCCGCTTCTTCCCAGGTCAGCGCCAACGTGAAGGTCCTGGACTTTAGGCGATGTCGGGGAGGCAACGGGATCTGTCGCTACAGACTCTTTGGCTTCCGGCGCAGGCGATTCATTGCCGTTGGCTCTGGCCTTGGCTGCTGTTATCGCTGCCATCTTGGCTGGGGGGAAATCAGGATCGAGATTCCAGACCTTAGCAGTATGGTCGGCGGAGCAAGTCGCCAAATGCTTGACGTCAGGAGAAAGGAGAACCCGTGTGAGATAGTCTTTGTGAGCTTGGAAGGTGCAGATTGGGACAATACGAGTCAATTCGGCGTCCTGGATCATGCGCCAGATGTAGACATTGCCCTAGAACCAAGTGCTCATTAGCTAACGACGCTAAAAGGCACCAAGTTCAGCGCGTTACCTTTTTATTCCCTGCACAGAGAAGAGAGCCATCGCTTGCGACGCTAACACTCTGCACAGCAACGTCCTCCTCAGGAATAAGTTGATGTGTGCAGACGCTCTCCCCCAGATCCCAAACCCTGACGATACCCGCTCGGTCACCACTAATTAGCTCACCCTGATTGGGGTGGATCACCACGTCATTGACTGGAGATTTATGTGCGTAATTGCGCTGCAAGCTTCCAGTACGAGTGTCCCATACTTTCACCGTCCCGTCCTCAGAGCTGGTAACCATCCACTTCCCCTCACAATGGAATGCGACCCCTGTGATGTTGTTCGTGTGACCGTCAAATGTCATGACTGGATTCGGATTGGTTGACTTGATATCATAGAGCTTGACATTGTTGTGTCCCGCGGCCGCTAGGTAGCGCTTGTCGGGAGTGATGCAGAGTCGATTGACTTGAGAGTCAGGGTGCTGAATTGTCCGCGAACATATTCCTGAGAGGGCCTCCCAAAATCTATTTCCGACAGATCAGCGCACAATTCGCTCAAGGATCAGGTAGCACCGGGAAGCATTCGCTTCGCCTACCGAATTGTATGATCATAACCCGCTACGACATCCCATAACAACTACGTCAGTCATGCAACTTCGACAGAGAGTGAGATTGCGAAATCTTCCCAAGCCATACTTACCAGTACAAAGAATGACGCTCATTATGAGTAAGATACAACAATGTGAGACTCTGAATTCTTCGAGGATGCTGGATGATTGAGAGTCCGCGTTGGGTCGTCGCGGGTGAGGGGAGAAGTAAAGTATTGGGATTATAGGTACTCTTCCTGCCGGCCTATACCCACCGATTGCAATCCTGATTGGGGTTAGTGCAACAGCTCCTGGGGAGCACACGTGAGCGGTTGTATAGGCGGTGAACAAGGCGGAACGCCATTACCAGATTTGGGAAAAAGCAGTGATTGTTTTGTTCCAGCTTCACTTTTACAACATCTTTCCGGCTCCATATTGTCGTATATCCCTCCAGGTTTCTTCATCCTATTGGATCTATGCAAAGGACCGCGGCCTCTTTTACATTGCTTTTGCGCGACCGAACTCTGCTTGCCCTGGTTTCCGTTTATTACACGCCCGAAATGACCCTGGCTCTCCTTGCTTGATTGTCAAAGGTCTGATCTTGTTGAGTCGACTTCATCGAACTCGAACTCGCCTGATCGTCCTATCCCGAGTATCTCTTGTTTTTCTCATTTCCTACCAGCAGTACCTTGCATATCTCGCTAGATGGTCCTTGTCTTACCAGTCAGCTGTTGTGTGATCGAGCAGTACCCTCTGGCATAGTTATCCGTGTTTAGCTGTGCACAACAAGAGTGGCACAAGCGGCTGAACACCACAGACTACAGCTACTCGGCGTGAGCGACGCATCTGGTCTCTGTTCAACAGTAGCCTTCATCAGTTCTCATGTGGTACGGTGTTCTCTGTGCTTTTTCCTGTTCATTTTGCTTTGCTCGCCACATCACTTACGCCTCGGCGACGTCAGTGCCTCGCAACTTCAATATCCGCCGCATGAAACCAACGGAAAAGTTTTGAGCTACCGCTCCAGCAGCTCATACCTGTGGTATTCCGTGCTACCCTGGTTTTGACTTCCGGTTGTCTTGGGCTTTCTGAGGTCGAGATGGAAGGAAGCGTGGTTGAAGGTATTTCTACCTCTCTCCCGACATGCCCTCTATTTTCGCAACCATATGACTCTCAGAGCCTTTTTGCTCCTGAGGATCTGCCAACTCCCCCATCTTACCATGATATGCATGTGAATGATCTGGGGCTTACACCTCCCCCTGGGTCGCAGCTGCTACAACCTACCAATGCCACTCGACCGAACCCCTTGCATGACGAGCACGGTTCATCCAACGGAGATGTGAGGATATCTATGGCCGGTCAGCCCGCAGGGTCGAACCACGATGATCAGGCGAGAGGCTCACGCAAGGGCACGCCCGACGACCCGTCTCTGTTGAGACGGAGGCGTTCATCGAACAACGAAGTTGGGCCATCGTTTCCTGATAGTCCTGCCGCCAGTCCAGTCGGGTCGATTGAGGTTGCCGCAAATGCCGCAGCGCAGACCAGACCTCCACAGCCCTTGAGCTCGAACATTACGCCAAATGCAGACGATCTGCTCTACGATCCTCTCTTTGGTCCCGACTTTGTGTTGCCCAATTTCGACGCGAATTCTTCTTCTTTGAAACGAACCGCCGACGAAGCCTTGACTGATGATTTCCAATTGTGGCACAGGCCTGAAAAACGACTGATGCCGGATTTACTACAACGCTCCAGCGCTCCTTCTCTGGATGCAACACCGTCTCTCTCCTCGCCCGACACTATTCAGTTAGATCATTTTGAAACAGTGCCCAATACACCAGGCGGTATTGCAGACTCGCAATTACCCGCGCCTCCTTTTGACCCCTTTGATTCTCTATTTGAAGATCCTGCCTTCCACATTCCACCGGACCTATCGGGAATTGAGGACTCTTCTGAGAATAGACCAGCACCTCACTCTGCAGACGCGGAGCCTTCGTATGATGCGTCTCGTCTTCCGAGCTTCAATGTCCAGGTACAAGCTGCTGACCCTGTGACTTTCGATCATGAGACTGAGGGCGTATCACGTCCCACAAGTGAATTGACCAAGCGTCAGTTCTCTCTGGATACCCAAGATGTTCTTGCGAACGCAGACCGTGAAACTCTGCAGCGAGTTGACCATGTACCTAAATACACATCTCCATATCCGATGTACCATGGGCCTTTGGGCTATCTTCCCTCAGCTCCGGGAATCCACGTCAAGTGCATTCAGATCGCCAACGACCAAGTCAACGCCCGTTTTTCGCACCTTAAATACAAAGTCCAACAACTCAAATACGAAAGAGACAAATACAGGGATGCGTGGTCTAAATGGACAGCACTGGAAGCATCAACAGGGAAGTCAAGGGCACAGATACTCGAGGAGGAAAACGCGACGCTGCGGCGCGTGTCCACCCAACACCAAAGAAGAGCGGAGCAGTACAAGCAAGAAATAGAGGTCTGGAAAGGCAGACTGCATGATCTCAGTGTTATATACAACAACCTCCTTTACGAGATCCAGGTTCAGAAGAGAATGCCTGCCGTGGCCCCCATTCCGCGCGGGTACCGGCCCCGGTATCCGTCACAGGCTGCTACACATCCGCAATCTGTTGCACCCGGTCAGCAGCTTGCGAGCACTCCTTATATCCCGGGGCCTCATCAAAATCCGCCTCCCAGCAATTCTCCGCCTAGTGGCATCACAACCGGATCAGTGCAACACCCCGCTCCGGCAGAGCCACAGCCAGAAACGGTGACTATTGATCTTACTGACGAAGCGCCCAACATCACACCCAATCCAGCTTCGATAGCTCCATCGAAACCAATGCAGGAAAGCGGGGAGCTTCTTCAATCATTGCAGAAAAAGAAGTACAACTGGCTCGAAACAGCGAAATCGGGTTCCGCACAGCCTGCGGTAGCTCGAGCAGGACCTCGACCTCCGCTACGCTCCGAATCCGCGCCTCGAGCCTCTCAGCAGCCTCCCGCGCCACGCTCAAGTAGCAATCAGCCGCCCAACATACCCCCTTTCGAGATCCAGGCAGCAAGCAGTACTAATCATGACGATGAAATGGAT